GAGGGAATTAGTTTCCCTCACTCCCATGTTCCATGTGTGACAATAATGTTTAAGGTTTTAGTCCAATTATTAATAATTAATGAAATGAAATTGCCTAAGTCCATGCAAGATGCTATGTACTGGTCTTTTCTTTCTTTCTTTGTGTTTTAAGGTAAAAAATGATAACTTGGTAGCTTGGTATATTTGGAATCTGATCCTGTTACATATTATAAAGTATAAGCTACTTGACATTTTAATTTCACGTCTATGCTATGGTTCAAATAATTTTTTGGCTGCTGCCTAATTATTGATGACTTTATACATCGCAACAATAATGGTCAAACTGAAACATAGACAAAAAAAAAAAAGTATTCTTAGAGTTTGTTGGACTTATTCCGTTTGGTTTCATAGTGTTGGTGGATTGATTTAATTTTTTAAGAATTCTTATAGATTTGATTAATTGAATTTGAAACATAAACTTCATCAATTTTTTGATCCCAACTAGGTGTTTCTAACCTAATCTTTTTCACTTCCGTTGTCTAAATTCAAAGGTCCCCTACATAATGTATTGAGCCTGGTCCTGATATAATAGAACAGTAGAGAAAGCACAATTTTGTCAACACAATCAAGCATAGCTCTATCACAATTCTTTGTTGTCAATCAAGAAATCATCTGAGATTGAAAAAGTGCAAGTGTGAAATCATCTTTCGACTGGATCACTGGAATATTAACAGGAAAACATGACACATGCACGTTATATATAAATATATATAGATATTGATTTATATGTTTGTGTTTTTATTCAGGAACTTCAGATATTCATTAGATATTAATAATAAAAAAATGCTTAGGAAGACAAAGCGAAGAAGAGGCTTTGCCAAGCGAAATTATGAAGATAAAAACTTTTAGGGTGGCGACGCGGCAAGCGAACATCTGGGGGGCAACATTTCTGCCTTGCTTCTCCGTCTTCAATTGAGAACTGAGAAGGGCCCTTATCATATTTACAGTAAGTTCTTAGTATAGGGAGGTCACCAAACCTGTATTACTTTTACCATATGGACGCAATCGTAGTTTAGATCTTCAATGATAATGTCCACAGGTCTTGATTCATCTTACATGTTGATGAGCTTGCCGCTTACGGGTCACAAAACAACCCGTCATCACCCCTGCAGCTTGCAAGTACTGTGTTAGCTCTATTTTGCTGGAAATACATGATTTTCAGTTCCGTTTAACCCTGTGTATTGGGTTCAATAGCCTTCAAGATTTTCGTTGAGCGTAATCTTTTTGTCGCAGAGCTCTGAATTTATCTAAACACTAGACCCATAAGCCCACCTGATATGCTGTTATTTTGCTTTCCATCTTATCCAGGGTACCAGAGTCTAGACACTTTCATCTGTTAAGTATGATAATCAAAAGTTGTTATATCTTTAATTGTTCATTTGATATTTTATAAAAGTACAGAAAAGTACGCACATACGAGATCTCCATAGTTTTTACGTAGAATGAAATAACTTCTAGGGTGGTATCGTCTCATGCCTTCTGGTATGATTGATGACAGTAAATATCTTAGATATAAGCATTTGAAACAAAATTTTGGTGCGTTGTCACGTCCATTGTACTAGGATAAAGATGATGGTGTACTATAGTGTTCATAGTTCAAGCATATTTTGTTTTTGAGGCCTGATAAATCATGGCTAACAGGTTGTTGCAGCATATAGATCTGCAAGATCCAAAAGTGCATTTCTGATCTCAAAAAGTTTAGAAAGCGAATATGGATTCTGATTCTGAGACAGTGGTGCACACTGGAGGATGCCATTGCAAGCGTGTGACATGGAAAGCAGTAGCTTCTTCTAGTGTTGTGGCATGGGATTGTAATTGTTCTGACTGCTACATGAGAGCCAATACACACTTCGTCGTGCCAGCTGAAAGATTTGAGCTTTTGGGGGATTCAGAGAAGTTCCTCACAACTTACACCTTTGGCACTCACACTGCAAAGCATACATTCTGCAAGGTCTGTGGTATAACCTCATTCTATTACCCACGCTCAAACCCAGATGGGGTTGCTGTTTCATTCAGGTGTGTTGACCCTGGCACGCTCAAGAGTGTTGAAATCAGGCGTTTTGATGGAAGGAATTGGGAAAGCTCATATCATCAATCTGGTATCTCTTCGTGTTCAAAGGTGCAGAAGTAACTCTTTGTTACTCAATCAGTTGTGGATTGTATTCTATTCCCTGTTGCTGCCAAGATTTTGTATGCATGGTTGTAACAAAAATAACAGGATCGCTTAAGGTCGGTCAAGGGTGTAGGGGTATCTATCCTGGTCTGAGAATCTTCCCCTTCCTTGGCACACACTTGTTACCTTTTCAGTTTAGCATCTTGACGAGGATTGTGTTCACAAACAAGATTCCCTCACCCATTTGATTGGTAAACTCTCTTTGCAGAATCCTTATAATTCAATGAATGGTTGGAACTCGTCTCTCTCACTGTTAATAATTTTTTTTAATACAAGAAAGTTAAAGTGGATTGACTTTTAAGAACTCATCAAATTAGAGCATACTTTTAAGCTCAAAAAGCGAGGTACTTACAGATTGTTCATCAATAACATTCTCATATCAGCAGGATTTAATCTCACAATCTTGTGAATAATTTCTTTCATTAAAAAAATATAAAATATTTTTAATTGAATTTTACCTTCTCAATAAAATAATTATTTATCTTTAAATTAATATTATTTTTTTATATTTACCTTTATGTAATAGAGTGTTTGACTCTAAAATAAATATAAAGTGATTATTTATAAAATGATAATAATTATATCTTAAAATGGTAAAAATGTCTAACATTTTAAAATATTCAATTCTTAAAAAAATATAAAAACGGAAGCGATATAAGGCAAATTTTTAATAATTGGACTACCCTTTTAATTAAAATCGGTTGAATTGCAAGACATGTAACCTCTCGAACACACTGGCCCAAGTTCACAATATACATTTGAGCCCTTGCCATTCATTCGCTTCCAATCACCCGGCAAGGTCTACTGTATCACAATTTGAGTGCGGCTCTAAAATGGTACGCGACTTCCATTACAGTATTGCAATTAGCACCGCCCACCTCATTTAATGGGGGAAAATGCCTATAGGAGAGTGTTGTACTAAGCGTTCACAATCAGTTGGACAAAAACCCAAGTGTGCACGAGTTTTGCAAGGAGTGCTCTTATATTGCATGGAAGGACAAAGGCCTAAAATTAATTTTATTAGGTACTTCCCACATCCTAGAAGCTTGGCCAACCAGTGGCTTACATGACCAGGAAATGAAAAACAATGAGCATTTCCTCTGGACAAAAACAAAATCTAAACTTCACTCCTTCAATAGCAAAGCATTGCATTATGCCGTTAAAAAGTATAGGGACAAAAATGCATTTTAATTCAAAATTTTTATCACATCACAACAATGTTAATTAAACTGAAACAAAAGAAGAAGCAGCAGCATTTCCACACAACTAGGCCCTCTAAAAAAGAATGGTTTGTTGCACTTGTTTTGTTTGGTTTCATAGTCTTGTGGATTGATTTAATTTTTATAAGAATTCTTAGAGATTCGTTTAACTATGTTTGAAACATAAACTACATCAAATTTAATCCCAACTAGGTATTTCTAACGTTGTCGTCTTCACATCCATTATCTTAAATATGAGGTCCTCTGCATCAGCATTGGGCCTGGCCCGTTATAAGGTAACGCCTAATAATAGAACACTAGAGAAAGCAGAATTTGGTCGAACACAAACAATCACATAATTCTATCACAGTTCTTCATTGTCAACTAAAGAAATCATTTCAGATTGAAAAAGTGCTACTTCGAAAACATCTGTCCACTGGATCACTGGAATATTAACAGGGAAACATGACACATGTTAGTTACATACATACATACATACATATACATATATATATATTGATTATTGCTGTTTGTGTTTTATTCAGGAACTTCGGATATTCATTCGATATTAAAATTAAAAAAAATTCTCAGGAAGACAAAGTGAAGAAGGCTTTGTCAAGCGAAATTATGAAGATAAAAGCTTTCAGGTAGCGACACGGAAAGCGAACACCTGGGGGCAACATTTCTGCCTTGCTTCTCCGTCTTCAATTGAGAACTGAGAAGGGCCATTATTATATTTACAGTAAGTTCTTAGTATAGCAAGGTCACCAAACCTCTATTAATTTTATCATATTTGATACAATCGTAGTTTAGATCTTCAATGATAAAATCCACAGGTCTTGATTCATCTTCATGTTGACGAGCTTGCCGCTTACGAGTTACAAACAACCCATCATCACCCCTGCAGCTGCAAGTATCGTGATAACTCTATTTTGCTGGAAATATTACACTTTCATTTCTGTTTAATCCTGTCCATTTTGTTCAATAGCCTTCAAGATTTTCGTTGAGCAGAATCCTTTTGTCGCCGAACTCTGAATTTATTTAGTCGCTGTAGCCATAAGTCGTAATTCATCTGATATGCTGTTATTTTGCCTTTCCTCTTATCTAGGGCACAAGAGTCTAGACGCGTTCATCTGTTTACTATGATAATCAAAAGTTGTTATATCTTTAATTGGTCATTTGATATTTTATAAAAGTAAAGAAAAATACACATACGAGACCTCCATAGTTTTTCAGTAGAATGAAATAACTTCTAGGGTGGTACCATCTCATGCCTTCTGGTATAATTGATGACACTAGATATCTTAGATATAAGCATTTGAAACAAAATTTTGGTGCTTTGTCACGTCCCATGTGGTAGGATGAAAATGATGGTATACTATCTTGTTCATAGTGCAAGCATATTTTGTTTTTGAGGCCTGATAAATCATGGCTAGCAGGTTGCTGGCAGCATATAGATCTGCAAGAGCCGAAATTGCTTTTCTGATCTCAAAAGTTCAGAAAGCCAGTATGGATTCTGATTCAGAGACAGTGGTGCACACTGGAGGGTGCCATTGCCAGAGTGTGAGGTGGAAAGCGGTAGCTTCTTCTAGTGTTGTGGCATGGGATTGTAATTGTTCTGCCTGCTACATGAGAGCCAATACACACTTCGTCGTGCCAGCTGAAAGATTTGAGCTTTTGGGGGATTCAGAGAAGTTCCTCACAACTTACACCTTTGGCACTCACACTGCAAAGCATACATTCTGCAAGGTCTGTGGTATCACCTCATTCTATTACCCACGCTCAAACCCAGATGGGGTTGCTGTTTCATTCAGGTGTGTTGACCCTGGCACGCTCAAGGGTGTTGAAATCAGGCGTTTTGATGGAAGGAATTGGGAAAACTCATATCGTCAAACTGGTATCTCTTCGTGTTCAAAGGTGCAGAAGTAACTCCTTGTTACTCAATCAGTTGTGGATTGTTTCTATTCCATGTTACTGCCAAGATTTTGTATGTATGGCTGTGACAAAAATAAAAAAAAAATCTCTTAGGGTCGGTCAAGGGTGTAGGAGTATCTATCCTAGTCTGAGAATCTTCCCCTTCCTTCGCACACATTTGCTACCTTTTCAGTTTAGCATCTTGACGAGGATTGTGTTCACAAACAAGATTCCCTCACTCATTTGATTGGTGAAAATTTTTTCAGAATCCTTGTAATTCCATGGATACGTTGGTCCAAGTTCACAACATATCCTTTCAGCGCTTTACCATTCATTCGCTTCCAATCACCCGGCGAAGTCTACCGCCTCACTCTAAAATGGTATCCAACTTCCATTATAGTCTATTACATATGGCACAGTTCAGCATTCAGCATCGAATGTCCGGGTAGGAGTAATTCTGACACTCTATTTCAGTCTTATTTAATTTCTAACGTTCATTTAAAGTAATTTTTAAATATTTTTAACATTATCTTTATTAAAGTAAAAAAAATATTTTTAATATTAAATCTAAACTATTTGGAATACATTTAAATGATTAATTTATAAAATTTATAAATTTTTTAATATAAATTATGTATTTAAATTATATTTAAATTATACAGAATCTATCTATATAGTGAAATTATAAAATTATAAATTTTTAATTTTAAATTGGATTGTTAAATTAAATTTGTACTAACTAAATTAATAATTAACAAATACATTAAAATTTTAAAATTTTTATTAATAAATATAATATCAAATATTTAAAAATTTAATTTAAATGAACAGTCAAGATTAAATAAGATTGAAATAAAAGATCAAGATTGCTCCTAACCAGTGGCAGAAGGGGGGGGACCAATAAAGGCTGTAACCCCCTCAATTTTTTAAATTTTTTTTATATTGTATAAATATTACATACTTCTGATCCTTCTAAAATTTATAAAAAATTTATAGTGTATATATATATATATATTAATATTAGCCCCTCCTTATTCTTAAATCCTAACCCCACCCCTGCTCCTAGCCCTTTCTGAGTGTTGTTCTAAAGCTTTCACAATCAGTTGGACAAAAACCAAATGTACACAAGAGTTTTACCTAGTGGTGCTCTTACAATGCATACAAGGGCAAAAGCCTAAATTAATTTTATTAGGTACTTCCAACATCCGAGAAGCTTTGGCCAACCAGTGGCTTAAATGACCGGGAAACGAAAAAACATGAATAAGCATTAACTTTGGACAAAAACAAAAATTAAACTTCACTTCTTCAACAGCATAGCACTGCATTGCGCCATTATCTTTGATGCCCGGGTTATTGAATCGGTCATATAGAAATTCTCAACTGCAATCCCGAATGGTGTCGTGCTGATCTTCTCAGTGACTTCGGGCTTAGGCAAAGATGAAAATACAGCCTGTTCTCTCTCATCCATGTGCACAAGATTTGGTGCAACTGTTTTAATTCGGGCACGAATGGCGCTGATTGTATCATAGGGCAACCGCAGTCCAGCCACCTCAGACAGGGCACGGATTATCTTCCAATCATCCCTGGCATCACCAACTGTTGGAACTGCAGGCAACGTTTGTTGAACGCATCCTTCAGTGTTTTCATATGTACCCTCCTTCTCACTGAATGCTGAAGCAGGCAAAATGACATCAGCACGATAGACACCCTTGTCCCCATGATGACCTTGATATACAACAAAAGCATCATTTGGAATATGCTCCAAGTTCACATCATCGGCACCCATCAGGTAGACAAATTTTGCGGACTCAAGGGTTTTTTTCAGATCGAGGAACAAGTCCAAGGTCAAGTGCAGCAGCCTGGGCAGCATGGAGAAGCAACACATTAAGTCCATTCCAATCAGGGCTGACAACATTTCCAATTTTAGCAATGGTTTCAACAGCTGCGAAAACTGCATTCTTGTCCTTCCTCTCAAGAATCCCACCACCAACAATGATACAAGGGTTTTTGGCATTTGAGATTGTCTTGGAAAATGGGTGACGACCCTCAGCAATCTCAATGAGTGTTTGAGGTCCAGTACCAAGATGTTTGTGATCATAATTAAAATCAGTGGGAGGACCAATGTACCCAACCTTGGCTTGTGTTGCTTTGACAGTCTTTCGAATTCTAGCATTAACCATAGCAGCTTCTACTCGTGGCTACAAATTCAACAGTGAATCCATATAAGATAAGCAAACCTAATTGACAACAGAAGCAACAAAATCCAACCGCCCAGCTCCAACACAGTATAAACCAGTAGATGAATCCAAGCCAATAAAAAATTTATGTGAACAGTTTTTCTCAAAAAATATTTTAATCTTTTTTCCTTTTCATGCAACCTCTACCAACTCTAGTGACTAAAGTGAAGGAAAAAAAAAAAAGTTAAGAAAGTAGGAGGAAAAAAACCTATCCTGCAATTAGGTGAAAGGGAAAGGCATTCCAATTATAGGAAGTATTTGAATATCAAGGGAGATAAAAATTACATTTAATGGACAGATATATACCTGGGTACCAACCAACAGGAAAACATCTGCTTTCTCGAGATCAGCAATGCCAGTATTCATAACATACCCTGATCGCGAATCAGCATTAGTATGTACGCCAATTCCTTCACACCACACATTATCTGATCCCATCCTGTTGATGAGATCTTTTAGTGCCATCATTGATTCAGCATCGGATAGTCGGCCTGCTATTCCAACAATTTCTTCTGGTTTAATTTGGTGGGCAATTTCTGCAACCACAGCAAGGGCATCACGCCAGCTGACAGTCTTAAAACGCCCATCAGGACCACGAATCATGGGATCATTTAGCCTTTGCCTCTTCAAACCATCATAGCAAAAGCGAGTCTTGTCTGAAATCCATTCTTCATTTATGTCCTGCATTGATAAGCAGTACAACCTTAAACACAAACCATGGACAGACGAAAATCCCCACCTCCCCCATGAAAAATAAAAAGCAGAAGTTCTGTCGTTCAAAAAAGCTCTACGGTTTCCCAGATCACAACAAATATTAACAATTTGCCTGAACCATATGTTAATAATCTCAACCCAGGAACTTTACGACAAAAGACTATCCATTCTTGAGGCTGCTCACTAGTTGCTCAAAATTACAAAATGTGAGAACCATAGCAGGTACATGATCACGCATATTTTATAACAATTCAGTCCTTGATAACACATGATTAGTGACCGTGACCAATTACACTCCAATGAATTAGGCATCCTAATAATATCAAGACAGTTAACGGGTTAGGTTCACTTAAAACATCCTCGGCTTGTTCAATCATCCAATAAAAAAAAAAATATATATATATATAGCTTAATTCTCAAGAACAGAGATCTGCTCATGATACTGTTTAATTAAAAGATTGTCATAGAGCAACAAAACAATGCCTATATCTAAATGCCCAAACCTACACGTCTTCGAAAGAACATCAATTAGAAGAGAAAATTTGTTTACAGACCTTCTACAGGCTTCAGTGTGATGAAAAAAGCAACTCTAAACAAGAGAAAGCTAAACCACGTTGAGGATTGAGTAGTTTTTCTCACAACACAATTATATACAAGGTATTGAAAGAAATGACCTAAGTCCGATACTTTTTGAGTCTTTGAAACAACAGGGGCACTTTGGTCAAAATAACCTATGCAGAGGTTTCTAACCTTCATATAACTTACTAGTGCGGAGGTTAGCATTTCCTTTATTTATATATCATATTGGCAAATATTATCTAAACAACACATGCAATACTTTTTCCATTGACACAGCCTCCTTGCAATAGGTAAGAGCACTCCTTAGACAAATTTCTTGTACAAACTGTGAAGTAATGGCAAGTGTGGTCACAATTGAGTTTAAGTGGGTTGACAAAAACTTCCTTTGTCAGGTTCAAGTAGTCATCAAATAGTGAGAACTGAGAAGTCATCTTGCTTAAACCATTAAAAGCAGCAATAGCATCATGCAGCAGTGAAAAAGCCTACAACCTTGAGAGCAAAAAAGATCTTACAGACACAACTCACTGCAATGAACATCCACAGTATCTTTTACCAGAATCTAACCTCATTTAGACGAGGGACGATTCGCATGACTTCAGGTCCTCTGCTATCAATTCGAATATTAGATCCAACAGCATCCGTAACATCAATGGTTTCTGTACCCTTTAACTCCCAATTTCGAGCTTTAAATGCAAAAGGTTTTGAGGTAAGAGCTCCAACAGGACAGATATCTATCACATTACCAGAAAGTTCACTTGTCATGAGCTTTTCAACATATGTTCCAATCTCCTCTCCACTGCCACGACCTAACATGCCAAGATCCTGAACCCCTGCAATCTCTGTTGCAAACCTAACACACCTGTTGTTCCGAAGAGACACTCAATTATTTCACACAACTGACATTCAAGATACAAGGAAAAAATGTTTCTCAGATGCTGGCAATTAGATTTCAAACAAATGCCAACATTTTAAACTATAGAAGGTCAAACCCAAACCAGAAATTAGAACCAGCCAAACTAAGATGGAACCAACCCATGAAAGGAATAAAACTAAATGATCAAGGAAAAATTGTTTCAAAATGTAAGGAAGACACTATAAAATCATGAGTCGAAAGGACTGAATTGGAAACAGACAAATTAAATAGAATTTGAATGTCATTTGTATCTCCATCAGTACAATGACATAAACCTTCAGAAGCGATAAAATATATGACCCCTGAACCACTCTAGGCTCACGCTAATGCTATTATTACTTATGTAACTATGTGGATGGGTAAAATATACACTAAATAATCAAGTTAAGTGCCCAAACAGATCCCAAAAAAACCTGCTAGAGTGAGAACATTAAACAACAAAATATGCACACATATCTTAGATTTAGAATTGAAACAAACAAGCTCTGATATATCATCACACTCAGGCTTGAACCTAGAGCTGCTGAAGGAGGGAGGGGACAAATACTACAATAAATGGCATAGCATTTCAAGATACAAAATATGAAAAAATGGGAGATAGGAAACGAATCCACAACTAGACAACTTTAATACAGCCAAAAAAAATTCCCATCAACAATAATGTAGTGCTTTGAGATAGAATTTGCTTCCAAACATACTATCACTGTACTGAAAGGATATCATTTTTATTTTGCTTCACGCTTGGAAATTCATATCTTAGTAAGGCTGGACTTCACCTATATAGAACAGGAACATCATAAAAGGATATCATATCACTTGCATCAAACCGATGAAATGCAGACATAAGTGGTACATCTGCTTTGTAACAATCATAACGGCTACTA